GAGTTGGTTTTTATATAGGGAGTGAAGATTATTTTTCAAATGGTTGTAAATTGGTAAGGAACTTACAGAAATTCAATTTGAGTTCAGAAGAGACTATGAAATGAAGAATATGTTAATGTCAGATGATTTTTGACTGGAGGTAGAGAATACCAGAAAGACATCTATGTTTTATTGACTATATAAAGGCTTTTGACTCTGTATAATAATAAATGATTGATGTCGTTGAGAAGAATGGGAATCACAGAACATTTAATTGTGCTTGAGAGGAACCTGTACATAGACCAAGAAGCAATTGTTCAAACAGAACAAGGGGATACTGCATAGTTTAAAATAAAAAAGGCTGTGTGCCAGGGTTGTATCTGTTTATCATAATTATTAAATTTGTATGCTGAGCAAATAATCTGAGAAGGTGGTATATTAGAAAAAGAATGTGGCATCAGGATTTGAGGAAGACTCATCAACAACCTGTATGGTGCAGATAGCACAGCCATGCTTGCTGAAAGGGAAGAGGACTTGAAAGTACTTAGTGCAGAAGATCAAATGGATTTCAATATGGATTACAGTTCAACATCAAGAAAACAAAAATCCTCACTACTAGACCAAAAGACATCATGATAGACAAAAAAAAAAATCGAAGTTAATTATTTCATTTTACCACAATCTTCACCCATCAAAGAAGCAGTCAAAAAACCAAACTATGGATTGCAATGGGAAAATCTGCTGTCAATGCTAAAGATCAAGGATGTTACTTTAAAGACCAAGATGCATCTGACCTAAGTCATGATATTTTCAATTGCTTCATATGCATGTGGAAAGTAGATTAATGAATAAGGACAAATGAAGAATTGATGTCTTTGAGTTGTGGTGTTGGAGAAAAGTACTGACTACCCAAGAACAAATAAGTGTATCTTGGAAAAAGTATAGCCAGGGTGTTCCTTCGAGATAAGGGCAGTGAAGCTTCATCTCACTTGCTTTGGGCATGTTGTCAGGAGGGGCCAGCACTTGGAGAAAGACATCATGCTGAGAAAGATGGAGGGTCAGAAAAAGGGAGGAAGACTTTCAACCAGATGGACTGACACAGTAACTGATAGATAAATACATAGATAGATAGATAGATAGATAGATAGATAGATAGATAGATAGATAGATAATTTATTATGATCCACAGAGTCAAATGCCACTGGTACAGTCACTGTGTCAATCCATCTTATCGACTATCTTCCTCTCTTTTGGTGACCTACTTTTCCAAGCATGATGTCCTTTCCCAAAGACTAGTCCCTCTTGACAATGTGCCCAAAGTGTGTGAAACAGGAGTTGTAATGCCAACTCGAGGCATATGGTTCAAATCCACCCACTCCTCAGCGAGAAAAAGATGGGAAATCTCCTCCTATGCAATTTACAGCCTCTGCAAACCCACTGGAGGGCCCGCTATGAGTCAGTTCTAACTCAACAGCACATAACAATAACAACAGGGTGCTTTTGACAACACCAAAATTCAAAGGCGCCAATTCTTTGTTCTTCCTTATTCATTATTCAGCTTTCATATACATACGAGATGACTGAAAATATCAATACCATGATTTGGATCTCTTCTACTTTCTTGGCCAGATAGCTATTTTCCAAATTTCTTGGCATAGATGAATGAGTACTATCAGCATTTGTTGAAACATCTCATTTGGTGTTCTGTGGATTCCTGGAGAGCCTTGTTTCACCAATACCTTCAATGCAGCTTGGACCTCTTCCTTTAGTACCATTGACTCTTGATCATATGCTATCTCCTGAAATGGTTGAACATCAAAATTTTTTGTACAGTGACTCTGTATTATTTCCTTCTTCTTTTGATGAGTCCTGAATTATTCAGTATTTTGTCTATGTTGCTATTGTTGTTATGTACTTTTGAGTCCGAACCAACTCACAGTTAACCTTCCTGTGGTTTTCGGGCACAGCACATTGCATAGGCGGAGATTGTCCATCTTTCTCCCAAGGAGTCACTGGTGGATTCAAATTGCATGCCTTGAAGTTGGCAGCTCAACTCCTTATCACTAAACCACCAGAGCACTCACGTTTTGTCCATAAAACCCTTCAATATTGTGCTGTGGGCTGCATTCAGGGTGCTAAGTTCGATCTGGACGCAGGCACTAACCCAGGCCCCAGTCTTTAGGGTGCCAGAGAGAGGGAAGACCAGGCTTTTCTCAAACCAGTGGGGTCTGCAACTTCAAGGTCTCCTCCTGCAAGCAGCCCGTGGATTTGCCAGCTAGAAACAACCCAAAGTCCAGCCCATCCGAGATGATAACCTGCCTCCTTCCACGTTTCTCAAAGACTACCAGAACATTCCTGGAATTGACAAGGTTGATGATGTTGTGAAAAGGCTCTTGTCTTTGGAAATGGCTAGCCAGAAGGAGAAGCTAAAAGTCAAGCAGGAGCAGTTGATGAACAAGATTGTGGCAAACCCTGAGGACACCAGATAGATTCCTGGAAGCTCGAATTGTTGCCTTGATTGTCAAGATCCAGTTAGGAAGACCACATAAGAAACATCAAAAGGGCAAAGCCCACAAGCGCTTTCTGCTCATGAGCATCGACCAAAAACAGAAAAAGCTCAAAGTCCTCCGTAGGACCAACTATAATGTCTTTGAGAAGACATGCAAAGAGCTGGGAATTGAGTACACCTTCCCCCTCTTTACTACCGGAAGACCTACTTCCACTGGGTGGCCAATAAGTCGCTGTGCATTTGGGTTTTCCAGGAGGTTCAAAAGCTCAAGAATCAAAAGAGGATCTTAAAAGCTCTAGCAGCAGCCCAGAAGCAAGGCCAGAAAAGCTCAGAGGGGAAGCCAGACTAGATACATTTAAAGAAAATCAATAAATTCTGTTACAATTTAAAAAAGAAAATAATTCTTCCATATTCCAACTTGACTTGGAGCAAGTCAATCTCTTTGTCTTGGTTTCCTTTGTATTATGTGTAACCATAGCTAACACATGTACAGTGCTTGCCTATTTATCAGTCATTGTTCATTTAATCCTTATAACAACCGCTAGCTGGAAGAAACTATTTCCTCCAGTTTATAGAAGCACAAAGGGGTTGAGTGAGTTGGCCAAGGCCACACAGCTATTAAGCTGCAGAATCAAGATTCCAACACAGGCTCCAGAGTTGTGGCTAAGTATAATACATGTACAAAATTGGTACAGTAAGAATGTGTGCCTACCCAAGATTCAAGAAAGGTAGCAGCTGTGGCTGCTGTAATTATATGAAATGTTTTCCTTTCTGTACCACAAAGGTTGGAGGAAAGGAAGCACAAGCCAGGAGAGAAGGAGAAAGAAATGGAATGTGGAAAAGGAAAGGGCAAATCAAAGAGGCAGGGAAGTGCTGATTATTTAGGAACTAAGCCTCTCAAGAGAGAACTTGGTGACTGTTTCTGAATTGAAAAAGACAACAAACAAAAAACTCCAGGCTGGCCAATTGAATCACAGACATTAAACCCACAAGACCTCAGCACTTAGGGCACTGATGATGTTCAGCTCTATCCCCAACATTCAGACCTGGATCTTCATGGGTGGAGCTTCCCGACGCTCCGCCCCATGCTGAGTGGGTGGGGCCAAACCCCAAGAGGCTGCCAGCAGCCCCACCCTCTACTGGTGGCCTGGGAGTCCCAGGCCTGAGCCTCACACTCTGCCGACTTGGCCAAGGAGCCCGGTGGGGCGCGATGGCTACTTGGAGGCGGGACAGCCGGCTGACAGGCAGCCAAAGGCTGCTGTGCGCCGGGTTGGCAGGGGCGCTTAGCCTCAGCCTCACTGCTCCCCTGGAGCTCGCCACTGTGCTGGCCCAGGTCGGCGCCATTCGTGGCCACGCCCGGGGACCCTGGGCCACAGGACTCCAGGTGTGTCAGGCCGAGGGGCGGCGGGCCCTCTGGAAGGGGAATGGGGTGGCATGCCTGCGCCTCTTCCCCTGCAGCGCTATACAGCTGGCCGCCTACCGCAAGTAAGAGCAGAGAGCCGGCTGGGTCGGGCGGGGCCCTGGTGGTTGTGGTGGTGGTGGGGTTCCTGCCGCTGACGTTGCCAGTTTCTTGAGGCAGAGCCCATTAGTAGGGTGCTATACTCTTCCGGGTCACGTGGGAGGCTCCAGGGAGCACTTTGGTCCCCAAAGTGCTATCCCAAACTTTTTTTACAAGTTATACTGTAAACTGAAAAGTCTGTGTTTCAAACCCGGTGTAGCTCCAATAAGCAACCTGGGGCTCTAAAGAGTCCAAGGCCAATCGGAACCTGTTGTTGTGAAGGCATTTCTGACTTATTGCAAACTTTTGGGACAGCTGATCTGGCCCATGGAGCTCCCAAGGCTAGGAACTGCCAATCCCTGCAGAAGCAGACTGCCACACCTTTTCCCCTGAAAGGCTGGTGATGGCTTCAAACCTTTTAGATACCAAACGAATTCTTTTTTAACCACTGCAGCAGGGGGCACCTCTGGTAAAGATTACAGCCTTGGAAACACTATAGGGCCGGTCTACTCTGTCCTCTTGCAAGTGAATCCATTTGTTGGCAACGAACTGGTTTCGTGCATTTTGAAAGAGCCCTAGTGGTGCAATGGTTAAATGCTCAACCAGTGAACTCCTATGGAGAAAAACCTGGTGAAAAGCTCTCATAAATGTTGCTGTGTGCCACTGAGTCGGAATTGACTCATAGCTGACCCTCCAGTGGGTTTTTAGAGGCAGTAAAATTACATAGGAGGAGACTGCCTATCTTTCTCCTGCACAGCAGCTGGGGGATTCGAACCATATTCTTTGAGTTGCCAACAACTCATAATCATTATAAGACTAGAAATCCCTATGACGCAGTTTTCCTCTGTCCCTTGGGGTTGCTATGAGTAAAAAAGAAAATAGGCTTGATGGCACAAAGAACAACAGGGAACTCTAGTGGCTTAGTCTATAGGAAGTTCTCTCTGGCTGCAATTTACAGCCACAGAAGCCCACTAGAGGGTCAGGTTATGACAACCTGACAGCAGCTTGACAACAATGAAAGCAAGAGGACAACTCTGGGTAAGGAATTGTGCTGACAAGCAAAGGCAACCAGTTGGAGTCCACTAGTCTCCTCCCTGCTACTTATAGTTGCCGAAAACCCACTGGAGGGCTGGCTATGAATTGGTTTGACTTGACAGCACATAACAACAGCTCCAACCCAGTTAGGTCTACCTGACTGGACATGCTAATAGGTGGAATGAAGGGAAAGGAGATGAGAAATCTCCAGAGACATGGCTCCTAACAATTCCCATCTTCCTTGGAACAAATGCTGTGTGGCTGGTTTAGGGAGCGACTCCTACAAAGGTGTGTGTACACACCTGCCAATCCCTTGGCAGAAAAAGGTCACAAGTCTCTGTTCCCCTGAACAACCAAAACTAGTTGTCATGGAGTCTGTCCCACTTCATGATGTCCCCAATGTGGATCAGAGTAGAACTGTCCCTCATAGGGTTACCAATGCCTGATTTTTTTCAGACCACCAGACCTTTCTTCTGAGGTGCACTTGGATAACATAGAGACTCCTCTCCACCCTCCACCAGCACCACCTAGATGGAAGTTTGACTATGGAGTTCAACAAGTGCTACAGCTTCCCTTTCCCCTTCCCCTCCTCCCAAGCTGTAAACAGTCCCTCCATTTACTGCCTCATAATAAAATGCCCCTGGCCACTCTCTTAGGAAAGGATCTAAAGATGTTAATTGTGGCTGAGCCATAAAATTTCTTTCAAAGATTAGAGATGTTTCAGTTTGAGCTGGAAAGAGGGGCATAAAAGGATGAAAGGATAGTAGTGGACTTTTGGAAAGCAGAGATGTTTCTGAATTTAGGAGGTCACTCTTATGTTCCTCATTCATCTGAAGACTGGCTTTGGGCTAAATTAGGCAAACAGCCCATGATAAGGAGACTCACAGTTAAAGGATTTTACCTTTACACTTTTCTTCCAAGGCCTGTGATGGCGGCCTGGGTTTGGTGTAGTTTATCTTCCCAAGGACTAAACTGGAACTCCCACTTGGCAGCTGATAAACCCAATGGGATTATTCCTTATGACTGTCTCCCCTAGGTCAGCACATGCCTGGGAATACCTTTCCTCCCTCTGGGAGAGAAGGGTGTATGGAATGCCTGTCAAGGCTGTCTTTTCCACTCCACCTCACCCTTGCCCAGACAATAGGGCAACATCTGCTCAGCCACCTGTAAACAGTTCTCTGAGGAGCTTTAATGAGGCACTCGTTTCACCCTCTTCTCCACAAAACCAGACAAACCAGAGGCTTCCCATTTGCTTCTGACTGATGGAGATTTCGTGGGTTTTCAAGACCAGGTGGCTTTTCAGAAGCAAATCTTCAGTCCTTTCTTCCAAAGCTCCTCTGACTGGAGCCACCAGCCATCTGATTTGTAGTCAAGCACTCAACTCTTTGTGCCACTCAGGGACACCTCCTCTCCCCAGAATGGTATGGGAGTCTTCCTTTGGATAGAATTATTATACTGTTGTTGTTGTGTATTGTTGAGTTGGAACCAGCCTATAGGTGACCCTTCAGCAGGTTTTCAGAGGCAACTAATCACATGGGAAGAAAATGGCCATCATTCTTCTGTGGATTTGAATTGATGGATTCGAACCATGTGCCTTTGGAATTGCAGCCCAGCTTCTTACCGCTAGGCCACAAGAGCTCCTAATTTGGATAGGACAGAATATACATATCAAGGAGTGGAATGTGGGGGAGGCAAGACTGATTTAAGAATTGTGACTTTTCTGCTACTGGGGTGGGTGGGTGTGTGTGTGTGTGTTATGTACACATACACAGTTAACTGTCATCCCTAGTCAACCCCTGCATCAAGGAGACCCAACAATAAAATCTCATGACTGGCTGCAGATTGGACTGCTATGAGCCACAGGGCATTCATTGACTAAATTTTGGAATTAGTTAGCCAGGCCTTTCTTCCTAGTCCATCTTAGGCTAGAAGAACCACTGAAAACGTGTTCAAAGTCATGTTGTTAATGTTGTTAGGTGCTGTTGACTCAAGTATAACCCATAGGTACCCTATGAACAACAGTTCCGACTCCTGCCCTATCCAGTGCCATTCTCACGGATATACTCAAGCCCATTGCTGAAGTAAGTCACTGTGTCAATGTCATAGGAATATGCAATCTTCCACTGACAGATGGCCAGTGCTTACGAGGTGCATTGGCCGGGAATGTACTAAATATGTGCACATCACTGGATTCTCACAGCACATGCCTCAAGTATTAATCCCATTTTGTAGATTCAGAATTTCAGAATTGGGGTCATGCTGGTCACACTGTCCATCCGTGACAGAGCTGATTCTATCACGTAGCCTTCTAATTCCAAATCCTGTCCTTTACTACATCATGATACTTTTCTCTCTACAGCCATCTGATATTAATTTGTTGTTGTTGTATGCCACTGAGTCAGAACCGAATCATACCTGACCCTCTCGTGGGTTTTCAGAGGCTGTAAATCACACAAAAGATTGTCCATCTTTCTCCTGAGTAGCAGCTGGTGGATTCGTACTGCCTGCCTTTAGGTTTGCAACATAACTCCTTACCATTAGGCCACCACAGCTCCCTGATACTAGTTTAGCAAACCTTTATTAAGTATGTAATGCACACATGATGAAGAGCCCTGCTGGCATAGTGCTGTAAAGTATTAAGCTGCTAGCCGGAGCTGCTAAGAGTTAATGCACTCAGCTGCTAACCAAAAGGTTGGAGGTTTGAATCAACTCTGAGGTGCCTTGGAAGAAAGACCTGGCAATCAACTCCTGAAAAATCAGCCATTGAAAACCCTAATATAGCACAGTCCAACTCGGATACACATGACGTCACTAGAGTTGGAATCAAGTACATGGCAATAGGTTTTACAGTGACGAGTATAATATGCTGGGGATGATGCAGAGATGAAAGGTCCATGTGATGGAATAAGGGGATCTGTGTGCCCCTAACTATGTATGACACACAAGGTGGGGTGTGATTATCCTGGATAAAGTGTTGCAGAAACTTACACCTTCTGAGGAGGATTGAGGTGTGGGTTTACAAAGCCTTCACTCCCATTAGTTGATTCCAATTCATGGTGGCCACATGAGTCTCAGAGTAGAAGTGCCGCACTCTAAAGGATTTGCATGGATGTCTTAGTTATCAAGTTATGCTGCTAAAATGAATAACACAAGCGAATGGCTTTAACAAATAAATTTATTTTCTCACAGGAGGCTAGAAGTCTGCATTCAGGGCGCCAGCTCTAGGGGAAGGCTTTGTCTGTTGGCTCTGGGGGAAAGTCCTTGTCTCTTCAGCTTCTGTTCCTTGGATCCTTGGCATTCTTCATGTGGTATGGCATCTCTCTTTCCCCATTTCTGCTCACTTCCCTGTCCTAATCTGCTCTTTATATACCTCAAATAAACTCAAATACATAGGCTTTTGTTGGGCTTAAAATACACCCTACACTATTATGACCTCCTAACATAACAAAGAGAACCCATTCCAAAGGGGATTATAACCACCTAGGTCTGGAGAGGGGTTGGGCTTTACAACTCATATTTTTTAGGAACGCAATTCAATCCATAACAATGGTTATGATCTTTCAGCAACAGGGCACCAGGCCTTTCCTCTGAAGCACCTCTAGTTTGGTTTGTTGTTGTATATCGTACAGTTGGAACCAACCCATAGCTGACCCTCTGGTGGATTTTCAAAGGCAGTGAATCACATGGGAAGAGACTGCCCATCTTTCTCCTGTGGAGCACCTGGTGGCCTCGAATCACATGCCTTTGGGATTGACTTAGAACTTCCAGCTTCTCCATTCATAGCCCAACATGTAACCATTTGTGCCACTGGGAAGACTGCACAGTGGAGACAATATATTTGCATTTGGCCTGGGAAGAATGAGTAGGCGTCTGCTGGGCAAAGATGGATAGAGAGATTGCAGGTGTGTGTGTAGTAAGCAAATATACAGAGGCAGGCAGGCAGGGATCCGGC